CAAGTCTTACCATTCTCTGAGGATCAATAAAGGCTGATGTCTGCAATGTTCTTGCTCACAAATGGTGCAGAATCTGGAGGTCCATTTGAATTTCTGTTGTACCTATGGTCAACACTTTTGCCTGCTACAATGTCCAAGACTTAGTTACTTGTACTAATTGACAACTTCAAGCTTGTTCGGTTGGTATTTCCTTGTAAAACTGAGACTCTTCAGTCAAAATTAACAATGAAGTCCTTTAGTTGATGTGACCCAGGCACAGTGAGGTAAAATCAACAAGCAGGCAATGCAATGTACACCTTCTCTATCAAAGGAGATGCAACTCATATTCATTGAGAAATTGACAGAATATGTTTCTAGATGTGGTGTGATACAGTTTCTTCTTAGGCATGATTCCTTAACTTTTCAAGGTGGTTCTGGTAAATCCTAGGTTATTGTACTCCTTAAACCTATTTCCTGATAACCTCTTTCTTCATGTAATTCTTGAAAATCAGTTCCTATTCCTGCAATTTTTGCTATCATGTTTTATATTGAAATTCAAGAAGAACCGATAAATGAACAAATCACAAAAATGGAATGAAAAATACAAAATGACCATATTTTAGGAAAAATGCATGACTGGTCTGGCAATGGTTTGTAGAGTTTAATAGCTTATTCAGAGCAATTTTCATGCTTTCCTTTGCATGTTTGGATGCAATCCCTTTGAAATATTATTGCTCTAGTTATTAAGCTATGGCTGCCATTGGATTTGAGCTTCCTAAAGAACTATTTCTTGAATTATACTAAGCCAAAAGGAAAAATGAGAAAACCTTGAGTGACTGTACGTCATGTAGAGGACATTAACTTTTTCTTCCAAGTGACTTGATCCTTCTGGGCCAAATCCTCTCTCTCTAACCCTCCCCACCCCCCCCCCCCCCCAAAAAAAAAAAAGAAAAAGAAAACCAACACCACACACACACACTTGTTTACAAATGCACTCAATTAGAATCCATCTCCTGGATAGACTCCAAAGAAGAAAGAGAATGGATGGCTAACAAATTTCATCATGATGGATTTGGTAGTGCTTACCTTATATTCATATCTGTAATAATTTTTAGAAGTAAGAACAAGTCATATCAGGCAGGTAAAGTCAGTTGTATATCTAGAAACGTGTGGAATTCTTATGTCCAGTGACATATACAGTTGGATAATCTTTCAAGTAAAATTTTGAAAGTAATTAGTTTCTTCTCTACAGAATTCCTGTTGTTTAACAATTAAAATTCCCCCTGGAATGCTGACATTTGGAAATAAAATCAGTAGCAATAAAAGGAATAAATATGGAAGGCTAGAACATTTATTTCTTGTTCATTGGGAAAATTTCGGACCCAATATCTGGAAGAAGTATAAAACTTAGTAAAACATCACTGTTTAAGTTTCCTAGGTATTCAACGTATTGTTTATAAGAGGTTTGCATAATTTTAATTATCATGGTGCAGAATACACCGTGTTCAGTTTGAGCAATTAGCAGCAGATTTAGATGATAAACATATTTTCTCTCTGATAAGTGAAAGAATCCTTAATGCTTGAAAGGTAAGATTAATGAAGTTATTGATTAGCAAAAATGGTTTAATTAGGAGGATTCTCTAGATCAATTCTTTTGTGCTATTTTGGTAATGGAGTTTTGCTTGCTCTTACAGAGGTATAGTCCCATTGCCTGCTTGATATCTGAATTCTCAACCCATGAATTTAGAAATTCTTGTGCTCATGCATATCAAGTTTTTATTTGTAACGATGGAGAGAGAAAGGGTAGGAGTGGGGAGAAATTATTTGCGAAATTTGGAAAATAACTCAAAGCTACCTGAATATTGAAATTGAAAGAGAACAAAAGTGGATGAGCTTATGGCGCTTATGGTGATTACTTTTCTGAGCACATGAGGAAAGGCTTTAGTTTTCTGCTGGTTAAAGACCATATTTTCATATTACTTGTAAGCAAGGCAGATAAATTTCCATTCTACTGTTATTGATGTGGGTCTTCACTATCTTGTCTGAATTGATCCTTATGATTGGCATGAACAGCACATGTGGCCTTTGCTGAAGGTTGGAGGTGGCTCTGGGACTGAAAGAGAGGTTGCTGTTGTGGCAAACTTAAGTGCCAGAGTAGGATCAATTGGAGATAATCGACTTGGAGGTTGGCACTCATATCGTGCATCAAAGGCAGCACTTAATCAGTGTATGATCTGACTTTGTTTTCATGGGTTTCTTACTTCATTTGCTTCTTGAGACTTCATTGGAAAAGCCTTGCTTTCCTCAACCAGTTCTGCACAACATTAATACTTTTTAACCATCAAACCATGCTTTGCTTTTTATTAGAGAAGGAATCTTATTTGCTTTACTATGTTTGAAAAGTATGATTATCTAAGCTTTATTGCATCATGTTCAAATCCAACCATCTGTTAATCTAGATCTTGGGATCTGGTTTGGGGACTTATTGCATACAGTGAAATCCCACAAAGTAAAATATTGTATAGCAGACAGAATTTCTCTAGTCTAGAACTCATGAGGGGAAAGAATATCATTTTCGTCCATATTTTCCTTCCATCTGCTGATATTCCTATGTAACAAGTAGCATTTCAATGTCATTTTCCTATCATCCTGTCCAAATACTAGTACTGTCTCTGTTTGGACCATTGAGGTTTAGTACTGTGTGTTAAGGGAAGCTCAACCCTAATGGTTTTTTCCAAATGTAGTTATACCTTAAAGCCAATTAGGTGCCAAGTGAGATAATTAGGTCGATTTCATGAGGTAATGAAGTCATATCTACTTTTGTTTTGTTTTCATTTCTCACAGCTACTATGGGTTTAAAAGCTTGATATTGTTGCTTTGGCCTGAGTGAAATGACTACATGTGGCCTCACAAACAAATGGTTTGGGTAGATGATATGCTTTTGATCTGAAAGGTCAGCAAGATTCTACCTCATACAGACATTCAATTCTACACCAATATGTCACCCATACTTTGCACTGAGTAATATGCCTTGGGAAGTATGACTGTTACAATTGTATTTGCATGGTCCACCTCATGCATGTGCTCTAAATTTCTCAATTTCTAATTGAAACTTGCAGTGACGAAGACAATGTGTGTGGAATTTGCTCGTAGAAAAGATCCACTTATATGCCTGCTCTTGCATCCTGGGACAGTCGATACAGATCTCTCGAGACCATTTCAGAGAAATGTTCCAGAAGACAAGCTTTTCTCCAAAGAGTTCTCAGTGCAGAAACTGTTGAGCATCATTAATAATGCAAAGAACCCTGATAATGGCAAATTTTTTGCCTGGGATGGTTCAGAAATCCCCTGGTAATTCAGCTAACAGATACAAAAATTACAATTACCTTTTGGTTCCTATGAGCGGAATGAATTGAGAGGGGGGAGGGGAGACGGGGTGCAAACATGCGCCATGTTGAAGTAGCTCGTGTTTGGTTGTATTGTTTACCACGTTACTAGTGCTCGAGAGTTTTTACTTTTTACACGAATGATGTTACTGTTGCAAATTTTAATCAATATATTCATTCCTATTTTTGTCTCTTGGAGAACTAAATACCAAGGAATTATGGGCCTGTTTGTTTCGATGGAAAATTTTTCTCAAAAAATGTTTTTCCTTTTTTCTGATGTTTGGCTGCAAAAAGCGTCCAGAAAACTTTTTCCTAGGGAGAAGGTATTACCCGATCGAATGGAAAACAGCTTCTGCAAAGCTTCTACTGAAGGTTTTTTCCAACTCTAACACTGTTTGCTCTTCCAAAACAAAGCCTTTGCCTCTATAACCATTTTTTCTCCTACTTATTCTCCCTAGCAACGAATCTACCATTCCTTGTTGGATCTACTTTTTACTCTCGCTCTCGCACACAAAATTTACGATTCCTCTTCATCTCTTTCTCTAATATACATCGATGGATATTTTTAAATAGATGCAGCACTTCACATATTGGTGGATGTATCATGTATCTCCAAAAGGACATAAATTTTGCAGTAATTGTTGTTAGTTGTGAGGAAAATATTTTCAAAAAATTCAATCAAACATAAGAAAATAATAGAAAAATATTTGATTTCTCTAGTATTTTCTCATGTTTGGTCCACCAATGTTCTAAGTCGACTTTCTTTCTGTGCATTTGATTATGTTTAATCTTTAAGGTAATTTGGAGGTGGTTATTCAGCTCAGTAGATTTCTGCTGCTGACTCTTAAAGATAATAGAATCTTATAGTCCATCAAAGTCTCCACAATTGTTCTTTAGCACTAAATGCATAATGTAAAAGAATGCTCAATGATGAGCATATGAGAATTTCATGTCCAAGAACTCACATGTTCTTGTCAAGATTTGCATCATCAGAATCATAGGCTTAAGCTTGGCTTGTTTTCCTCTCTTTTTCTGTAAATTTAAATTGTAGATTACTGCCTTTTAACTCTTATATTGGATAGAGGAAAAGGGCTAAATGCAAAAGGTATAAAGGAAAATAAAAATGGGATAATTGGATTGGAAAGGATATTAGTTCCTATGTTATTCCTCAACTATGTTACCATTCCTTCTCTTTTCATTGCGAATCAAATGCAAGAACATATTTTCTTGTACAAGTAGTTCTATTTTCTGAATATATTCCAAATACTAGCCAGTGATGAGGCCACATGGTAGATTATCTAGCCAAAATTAATGGCATTAGAACCCCTGAAATTCTAATCAAATTTTGCTGTCTTCGATTTTTTTTTTTTTTTGGGTTTTGTTTATGTTGTCTCCGTTTGATTGATAGTTAAATCAACCCCTTCCTGATTTTCAGTTTGAAACATTTCTTTTTTCTATTCCCAATGGCATTCTTCATCCAAATGACACTATAGTTTTACCTGAAGTGAGAGTAAAACTCTATAGATGGACAACTTGGTGGAAACTAATCAAGATTCCAAAAAAACAGCAAGAAAATTAGTAGAAATTTAAACACACTGAATGGAAGGTTGATCCAGAAGTAAAGAAAATGCGGAATTATGATGCTCAAGAAAATTGAGTTACTAAAACAACCAAATGGTACATCAGAAAGGCCCCAATCCAAGGGTCCTCAGTACAAGCGTTTTATTCAAATCTTACTCCCTATGATTGACAAATGGCCAATCCATGCTTCAAATTTCCAAAGCATCTCAGTGGATCCTGCAAATAGAAAATTAAGTTTTAGAGCATTGCTGTATAGTGAAAAACAAACAAAAAACAATATCTACAATTTGGAACTCAAGTAATGCAAAAAAAAAAAAAAAAGTTAGCCCACATAAACTTTCCCTTCTGGAGTCCACAATTTATCTGAGATAGTCCATATTACTTTACGATTAACCCTGTAAAAGTAACTAGTACTAAACTAAAAAGTAGAAAAGAGTGTCACACATACGCCTCACAGTTGGTGTTCATGGAGATAGGGAAGCCAACATTGATGCGGCAAGCAGCAGGGATTTTGCTCATGTACTTGTCCTGAACACCAGGGAAGCTCTTGACACCTGTCTTGAGGCATCTGCAGATAGCCTTCTTATCATTAACGTTCTTGACAGTCTGAGCAAGCTGTTGCAGCCCAGTGCAGCATGCAGCAGCTGGCTTTCTGTCCTTACCTCGAGCAAATGACACACAAGCTGCAGCCTTCGCGTCAACTGTGCCACAATCTGGGGCTGCTGCATTGCTCAAATGAGCAACAGCAAAGAGAAGAGAGAGGATCAAGATCATTGAGAAGCAAAGGCTCTTCATGGTTGATTTTCTTTACTGTCTGAGCAAAATTGAAGATGTATGTGTAGAGTAACTTGGTTGCTGAAGATTGATGGAATTGGTGAAGGGGTAAGTGAGCTTTATATAGAGAAGGCTTGTGATAGTCTTGAAGGCTTTGAGTTTCCCTAGGACGATTAATTGGATAACATTTTCAGGTTTTGGCCATTGGGATTGATGAAATCATGTAGCCCCATTCGTGAATATTGTCTAGTCTAAATCAGAACAGGTAAATACCAAGGGTTATTTTCAATTAGCCAGACCAGTAAAGCTATAAACGTTATGTAAATGCTAATAGGTTTCGGATAAGAGGGTGAAAATTCTACTATTGTATAGTTGGTTTTGATATTAGATGAGCACATCAGGGAGGAGGATTATAGCAATATAGGTTAAGTACTTAAAGCATATGGGAGGGTTCTTTTCTTTGTCCACTTTAATTAGCTTTACAAATGCATGGTAATGCACCTTCTTTGGCTGTTGACCTATTGAATATCAGGTGCTGAGTTTAATTTATTCGGAAGTGATATTAATTTGCACCCTCCACATATGGGCGTTCCGTGAGTGAATTAGAGTATAAGAGGCTGCTTTGGAAGCACTAACATCACTTCCCTAATTTATCCTTCAAGATAAATAAAAGGATAAGAAAAAAAAATGCTAGTCTTGCAAGATGCAAATAAGCAAAATTGCAGAAATAGGTCTCTTAAGTTGAGAGAAAGAGGAAAAAGAGGTGTCATTTAATGCTTGTTCAAAGCTTCTAAACTGTATGCTGATGCCAATAAATCTTCAAGAATAGGGTGGAAAGTCTATTGACCCAGATATTTAAGTAGTATGTTAGTCTTGGTTGCTTATTTTAGGTCGTAAGATAATTAAATTATGCATCATAAGAAGGTTGTTTTGTAATTGTATTTTATTCATTGAGTAATTGTGCATTACTCAATTAATAGGTATTGGATCTTTAGGAAACAAAAAAGAACTAAAATATGATGTTTGTGAAGGAGTAAGAGCAATATAATAAAAAGTGAGGCAGAGAGTGGCACAAGAAGTGAGACAAAAGATTTGTTGTAAGTCAAAACTCGAGACTTATCCTCAATATATTAATCTATACAAGCAAAACTAGTGTGAATATCCGTGCTACGCACGGTGCTGACATTATTGAAAAAAATAAAAATAAAATGGTGAACAAATAAAAGTGAAATAATTGAACCAACAAAATTAAAATGTAATATCTGTTTAACAATAGTTTGAAATATAATAGAATGTGTATATCATTCAAGAACTGTCTTTTTTCGAAAGATGGATCCTGAAAAAAAAATAAAAATTTATATTAAAAAAGGGAATGATATATTTCTACAAATGAATGTAATTAAATGTTGTTAAAATGAAATACTTACAAATACTAAGCATTCGATTTGATAATCTTACTTGAAGGTGCGAACACTCTTCACACCAATCCACTTTTAGTATGAAAGCCAAAATTGATGATTTAATTAACTTTGTTAAATTTTGTAGAGTGCGTACTATAAATGAAATTGCACAATCTTTGCATGAATTAATTCGTTGGTTTAACAACCTATCACCATCTTCCTGATAATTAAGAACGTACGAAATTAGTGTATTTTTTTATATAGTTTACAAATAGTACTATAAAAAATAAATATATATTAAGAAATTCTATTTTCCTTTGTAATTCTCTGAGATAAGAAGTATCACAACCAAATACAAATCGTGCATGTCTATCTTGTAGATTAAGATGCATGTTATTACTGGAATCTCTGATTTGTATGTTAACATTGTAACTGTTTAACAAATAAAATATTATATGCAATACAGAAAAATATATTGAAGTTAAATATACATGAAATTAATTGCCTAATAACAGTGTCAACCGCATCATTACAATGCTTACACACTGTTTTTGAAAAAAGACCTTCACATAGTTGTCCACAATTTTTGCATAGCTCGTAGAACATATTTTTTATGTTAATACTCTGAATATAAGCAAGTATTCAAAAATATTTAACCTAATAAGAATGAAAAAAGATATAGGTTATAATTATAAATTAAAAAAATTCATTCAGTAATTAATTAAAATTGAGTAAGCTTACCATAGGCATTATAGTATATTCAGATATCCATATTCTCTTTGAATTTGCTATCAACAGTGCTTATGGTGTTGTGAAATTGCTTGATTTCAACCATGTAACTAACTTGCGGGTACATGTATTATTTTCAAACCTGCAATTTTTTTGAAATAAATGTCAATAAGAGTACGAAACAATATTAATAGTTTGATATAGTGTTAATGAGGAACTCACTAACTGCGCAGGTATCGAGCAAAATTTAAATTGTGATTAATATACAATTTGCTAGATCCAATTGTACACAGTGATGGACCTGCATAGTATGGTTATGCTCGCTCAAAAGCTATTCAAAATATATAGAATATAAGTAAAAGCAATTGATTTACCTCTGAAATTTCGTATGCAAATATCACATGCTAGTAAAATATTATTTTTTATAGCAAACTGATATAACCGTTCATCATCATCATTAGCAAATTTATCCCACAATATGAATCGAGCTACTGTCAAACTGTGTTAACAAAATTTTGATAAGTGCAAACGTGTGGGGAAATGTGGGATGATGATTAGAGAATTTGTAGGAGTGATTGTAGGATAAGTTAAGAGATAGTGGGTATATTTTAAATTTAAATTTGATTGGTGATAAGGTGGGTTATAACCCACTACTTTTTATGTATTAAAATAAATACAAAAATCTAGAAAAAAGAATAAGAAGTTTAGAAGCCATTGAGAAGGTTCATGCTAAAAACCCCTTCTTGAATACATATAGATATAGATTAGAAGGCAAAAAAAAAAAAAAAAGGGGGAAGGTTAATATTGGCTGGAGACTAGCTCAGCCAGAGCTATGCCAATCTTGACCTATTTATTTACATGGACTTGGGAGCAAGATCAGGCTAGTCCAAATTTTTTGAAACAAAAAATTTTTTTAGGTTATTTAAGAGTACTCTAACAAGGATATAAGTAAAAGAAGAGGGAGGGTTGGGTTGTCTGTTAAGATAGGAGAGATCGTAAAATAATAGGAGATTCTGAATTCAACACCTCTTACTTTCAAACAAAAAAAAAAGGAAAAAATCTCATAAGTCAAGGCAAGAGTAAATATCTAAATATCTATATATTTTATGTTTGAGGAGGTCTTTTCAATTCCAACCTCTCATTGAATCTCTAACTCTCCACTCTTTTTTCCTAGATTTTTTTAAAATTATTTTTATTCCAAAAATTGTTTCATACCTTCCATTCGGATTTTGTCCAGTAACATGCATTGGTTCGTTATTTTTGGTTACATAATTCTACGTAGATCCAAACATGCCCTTGAATACCCAATAAATGCAATTGACTAAAAATAAACGTGCACATTTAAAAAAAAATAAGAAAGAAAACGAGTCTTTCCAAAAATAAAAAAGGAAGTGACATATTCTAATGCAATCCTGTACATTGAAAATTATAAGATACAATTCTTCAACAACGAATGACGATTTTAAAGGCCTCCGCGTGAATGGTCCAGTGGCAGAGCCTCTCACCGATGAATCTTGAGGTCACAAGTTCGAGTCTCCGTTCCGCTGGATTCCTCCGCGCACTTAACGTGTTCGGGTTGGGTTGGGGCGCCGGGCCTGGATCGCAGGGGATTAATCGGGCCCCGTAAGGATTGATCCGGACACCCCTGTGTCGACAAAAAAAAAAAAAAATGGCGATCTTAAAGCATAGAAATTCCAGCCAAATTGGTCCAAAATTTTATTTGGTTTCTCTCTACTATAATAATGTCATAAAACTCTTCTTCTCTTTGCATCTTAGTTTATTAAGAAAAATACAACGACAAAGCTTTTCTCTCATTTTGGTTTCATTAAGTTCATCTAGACAAAATGTGTTTTCTTAGCTTAATTTTTTTTTTATGACTTTCATGTTTTTGTCCTAGAATTCAAGTTTTAGAAAAAAAATTAATTATTATCAACTTGGTCCGTTTAACACACATTTTAACCCATTTAATCTTGTTATTGAAGAGTTTTTAATGACAAGATGCACAATAAAGTTTTCAAAATTTAAAGCAAAAGAGGAAATTCCAAGACTTCGATGCTGTCAGCTTTCAACAAAAAGGCAATCCATCGGTCAGATGCAACATAATAAAACACATAATTTAAATGTCTTCAAAGTTTTTTGAAAACATAATATGTAATTCAAAACATAAAACAAATTTCAAGATTTAGAGTTTTCAATAGAAATAAAATCTAATACATTTATATGCAATCAGGTATGAAAGTTATAATCACAAATAATGGAAAAAATAACAAGATGAGGTACAGCTTATGTTCACGTATTATCGAGATGGCATGTTAACCTACGTGTTGATCCAACCTAACGTGCTTATATTCATGTCGCTAACAGACTCACTTATGTTCCAGTTGTGTTTAATTTATTAATTCATATTGTGCTTGAGTTGTACCGGAAATTACTACCCATACAATGTAAGAACGATTAATTCTATTAAAATACAAGGATAAAATATGACAAAAAAATCCCCTATAGTTTGACATAAGTAAAATTTAACTCTATGTGGTTTGGAAGCCTATAATTTAATGTCTTATGGTTGGAATCAAATTGAGACCATTGAATTCTCCATTACATTTAACGGTCAAATTTAAATAGTCAATATTTTCAAATAAAATTAGTATAAAATTGCAAAGTCACTGTTCAAACTAAGGTTAAAATAATTTGATGGCAAACTATACTTCTAGAAAAATTTGAGATAAAAATGAAATTTTAGGGAAAAACTTATATTTATTTCATCTTTAATGCTATTTGTTGGATTGCTATCACCATATTACAAAAAAAAAACTTACATTTACTTAATGAATTATAAAAGACCAGCCACTAGATTAGAGGGTTTTGATGAATCACACGTTTGATTTCAAAATCTTAAAAAAAAGAAAAAATAGCTTCTGGTTCCTTCTCTTCCTCACGTAACTCTCTCTTTTTGCTCTCCATGGCTGCCCCATTTC